GAAGGGCACGAGGGTGTCAAACGTGTCGACAGCTTGAACGACAGTCCCGTCTTCATCGAAGCGCTCGCGAACATCGCCAAGGCACATTTGCAGAGCGGGCAGGCTTGCAGCCCACAGATGATTCTCAGGTGTCCAAAGTGCACAAGCGAGAGGTGCTTGGCACAAAAGGAGTTCTTCGCTGGTCAGACACAACACATTGACCCTCCCACAGCATAGACCGTGTCTTGGTTGTTGGAGTTTGACATGTGTAGATATATAGCCAACGAAGATGTACTATTACTCTCGCTATGCCAGATATTATGCAAACTGCATCTTCAGCACTTGAGGTATTGTTCTCGTCACCACTGCATTCTCTGCGGGGATCCGGCGCACGGAGGCGCTAGTAGCACCTTTGGACAAAAGCGAATGATCTATCCTTTTTAAAAACTCACATCTCGAAACCAACGTCACTCTACGTGCATCACAAAGAGCAAAACTGAATGGGATTCTAAGAAATGTCATTCAATGCAAGACTGCGCTCCCTAGCTGTTACACGCATGTAGAAGCCTCTAAATCCTAGAATTACAGATCCCTCTCATCACCTAACCGTGTCTCCAATCATGACCCCGTGAAAAGCCGAAGAGCTTTATGCTGTCCTGGCAACAGGCTTCTTCTCACCACCCATGTCGTGTTCAGTGTAGTAGAAGTTCTCTTCTGGGATGCGTCCCCTCAGGAACTCAGGCTCCGAACCACGAACGTAGATGTCCTCGTATAGTACCTTGCCAGTAGCCTCGGGGACAGCCATCTTCTCCGCAATAGCAACCTCCTCGTCGACCTCAGAACGTGCTTGCTTGTCAATCGACTTGAGCTCCTCCTCAGAAGTAACGCCCCAGTCGAGGAGCTTCTGCTTGAGGCCGGCAATGGGGTCATTGGTGCTGCGCATGCGCTGGATCTCCTCACGAGTCTTTGATTGTTCGTCAGTACATGCTTTGTGATGTTGTAGAGCGGTGTGACTTACTCGGTATGTGGTTCCAGGGTCAGACATGGAGTGTCCTCCGTAACGGTAGGTGACATATTCGTAGACAAGGGGACCCTTGCCGGCGGCGGCATACTCCTTTCCGTACTTGACAGCGGCCTTGACGGCGAGGACATCCATACCGTTGATCTTCAGACCAGGGATGTACTGTCCACGCTTGTAGTAGTCGGTGAGGGCGGATGAGCGGTTAGCGGCGGTTCCCATACCGTACTTGTTGTCTGCGGGGTGTTAGTAAATCCGGCGCATGTCCACGTGGTGTTTGTACGCACTCTCGCAGCCAAAGATGACGGGCAAGTTCCAGAGCTTGGCCATGTTGAACGCCTCAAAGACCTGGCCCTGGTTGGAAGCACCGTCTCCGTACAGAGCCAGGGTGACGTTCTTCTTGTTCTCGTACTGGCAGGCAAAGGCAATACCAGCGCCGACGGGGACCTGGGCACCGACGATACCGTTACCACCGTAGAAGCCGGGGGCAAACATGTGCATAGAGCCACCCTTTCCGTACGCGATGCCCTCCCTCCTGCCGAGGAGTTCGCCGATGATGGACTTGACAGATGCGCCGCGCATCAGAGCGAAGCCGTGGCAGCGGTAGGCGGTGATGAGATGGTCGGCGCGCTCGATGGCGTGTTCGATACCGACGGCGACGGCTTCTTGGCCGGTGGACAGATGGCAGAAACCCCGAATCTTCTTCTCCTTGTAGAGCCTGTCGGCGGCCATTTCCATGCGTCTGTTGCCTGTTAGACGCTGATCGTGTTCGCATCCCGGCATGACGGGTGTTCCTACCGTACGGCGACCATGTCGTAGTACATCTTTTTGAGCTCCTTCTTGGTGACGTTCATTGTGTACGGCGGCGGGTCGAGCTCGTACGTCTCAAAGGCCTCGTCGGAGAGGCGGATCTCGAACGGCTTGTCGTCCTCCTGCACACAGTCAACGGTCCATTGCTTGCTCCACAGCCACACGGCTGGCTGGCTGCGTGTCCTCTTACCGATGGCACATTGGCCGGGTCCGTGTGCGATGAGGCCGCATCCGTCGTCACGAACCTGAAGGCGGGTCGCGCCGCTGGGGCCACGGCATTGCGGCGGAAGGGCGACGCAATGCTCCGCCTGATTGTCCTGGACAGCATTGTGAGGTGTGGGGGAAGCAGCCGAGGGGGAGGCGTGGGTATGCCGTGGGTATGCCGTGAGGTTCAGAGGGTGTTGATTCGAAAAGTTGCTCAGCTCCCGCCAGCTCGGGGATCCGCTTTGGCGCTAAGCCGTTACCGTCCGCCAACGCCATTCTCAGCACATCCCGATTCTCTCCGACTCAACACCTCCCAACGCATCGCAACTTCATCACCTGCACCTTTCCATCGTTACTGCGCTATCAAATACCATGCGTATGCATAAGCTGCATACAACCGGCCGCAAATGCAGGACGTGATGCCACCCTCTCAAAAGCACGGAAATAAGACTGTCTCAGCATCCCTGCCTATTAGATCTCGCAATCACTCCAACCTGAGCATATAACTAAGCCATGTAGCTAACCTTATACAGGACAATTGGTCGCTAGGCGCCGAAACACACAAGTCCGCAAGAGCGCGTAACAACCCTCGAACCTTGCCAGTTCCTGGCGCTTGATGATACCCAGGTAGCGCGCGATTGACTCGAGACGTGTACAGAACCAATGAGGGACTTCGATTTCGGTTGTGATGTCCTGTTCTTAGACTTCGCCTGATCCGTCGCTCATAACAGCATGAGTACGATGCAGCCCACCCTGACAAGGGGCGCATACGCGCTATCGCAAAGGAATAAATAAACCTAGTTGACGTTGATGTAGTCTCAAACATTCAGGAATTTCGCTCATCGGCATTAACTACATCATTGAAGAATAGCTATGTCAGCGTGCACACAAAAGCCATGATAGCCCCAAGCCTACGAGAAGCATCATCTACTTCCTACCTTACTTCTTTCAAACACGAGCCACTTAACTACAGGAGGGGCGCAATCAGGCTACTCCAAATCCTCCCGCACCTTTCGATCGATGGACACATACAATGTGAGATCTGGCATGACAGTGTCAAAGCGAGCTACACCTGCCTCTCCTACGTCTGGGGACCAGACAAGATACAGCGGCAGATTCTAGTCAATGGCAAAATTGTTTCGGTACGAGAGAATCTTTACAACTTCATGCGCGTTGCGCAGTCGAAATACGCAAACCCGGCACGAACCTTTTGGATCGACGCTCTGTGTATCGACCAAGATTCAATTCACGAAAAAAACCACCAAGTCGCCCAGATGGGCTCCATCTACGCGAACTCCGTCGAAGTAATCTCCTGGCTCGGATTCAATCAGAGTATCGGTCGCGCGTTTGCATTTGCCTTGGAGTTGAGCAAGGAATCTCGACACGAGATACGAGACTCTCGTGCCAAACAAAGCGCCAAATGGTTCGAACGCAACAAGCAGACCAATGGCCAGCTCAAGAAAGACTGGCTGGCGGTTGTAGAAGACCAATATTGGACTCGCGCATGGATTACGCAAGAGATATTGCTCGCGCAGAATCTTAATTTACTCGTCAACGATCTTGAAGTCACGCCCATGCAGATTGCTGGGTGTGCCCTCGGGCGGCTTAACTACATCAACAACTTGGAGGGAGATGCCAGCATTGATAACATGAATCTGAGCCCCAAAACTCGCGTCTTCAAGCACTACATGTACTCCATATGTATTCAAACCCCAAGACCCTACGAAAGAAAACTCGTCAACTACTTCAATCGCCTACCAGGTCGGCAAAGTTACCATTTCCATGACAGAGTCTATTCACTTCTCCCGCTTGCCACAGATGCATCGAGCATCAAGGTCGACTATGGTATTTCGCGGTCAGAACTTTTGCATCAGGTTATAAGCCTCTACAAAACAAAGATGTGCATATGTACATGGTTCTACATGGCAGATATGCTGGACTGTTACCATATCCCCGACTCAAAAAGCCGTGACGATGGATCAGGCGCAACCCCAGTATTCAGATTGCCTATGAAACCAGTCCACGCAGACTTTGTTATGGGTGAGAATGCGAAGGATTGGTATAGTGCGTGTTCAGAGTGCACAAGAAAACTTTCTTCTTTCGATGCGAAACAGCAAACAACATTTTGTATCGAGCCTCTGTGCGACAATGTCCAACGCGGTCGCTGGTATGCTCATAACATCCAAGGCGGTCACTTATACGTTTACAAAACCAAAGTCGGAAATTACGAGATCAAAAGAGAGGGTGATACCACTGCCTACGAAGTAGTAAACTTCCAACCCGGGACCCCCAATTCCCCCAGCACTGATATCGAACTTGGATGGGGAAGTTCGCCAGAGTTGTACGATGTCTTCCTCACTGGTGATGTCTTAATGAAGCTGTTCATGTACCCCGAGCAGAAGCTCAGAAAGGCAGTGCCGTTGAGTGTTTGCATCAGGGCACAGGGCGATGCGGCCAATATGGAGCTTTGTTAGGTAAATTTGTGGATATGACGCACATGTCACTGGGTGAGCGCCACCATGCATCGTAAGGGACGTATAGAATGTATTGCGAGTTTCGTGTGTCTTGCTTGTAAACGACGGTGCCAAAGTGACTGCACATGCTGTTTTCCTGTGCTTTTGTCGTTGTACCGAGCCACCGCACACCATGTGGTGAGCATGGAAAAAATAGTAAACTATTTTGTGACTCATGTTGCTTTTACCAATCCAGCCGAAGCGATCTGACCCGGTACTCCATGACCCGACTGTTGGCTTTGTCACAATTTTCTTGTGCTCAGTTAGGATTCCTCTGCTCTCATGCCCTTGGGCGCTTGGAAGCAGCAGGGAGGCGACAAACAGAAGGTACATTGCTGATGCTGAAATCACATTAGTCACAACAACGACGTTGTGACGTGTGGAGATTCACGAGACCACTCCAGATTACCAAAGGAGTTGTACCGTATGTTGCGTATAGAAAACGTAATAGAAAGGTTGTTCTGAGGCGCTTGGCACTATTGAGACCTGACAGAGAATGTATGAGAATCCTGAGTGTACGTGATCCAACGTTGTTGCTGCAATGGAGTTAGGAAGATAGTACAAGATAGTGAGCATAAGATACTTGCCTTTGCAATGGAATAGCCAAGCCTCAAGACTCTCTCCATTCGGTTCTTGACCGTGCTTGCTAACTCCAGATATCGCTCCTCCTCATCATGCTCCCTTTCGAACCAGGTCTTGGGAAAGTAGCCGTCCGCCCAGATCAAGCCTCGCACGAGGTAATCTTCTGGCAGAGGCAGCTCGTCGCCTCTCTCGCCGTCTGCGGGAAACACATTCGAAGCTAACAAAGCATCAATGCTTGGTGTTTGCGCTTGCGACTGACTTTGGATTTGGTTCTCAGTCTTGACTAACGCATTCAGGAAAGCAACCAGTTCAGCCCAAGGAGCGTCTGCAATGAGATCAGAAACGTATTGACTGAAAGCAAAGATAGAAAGGAAAGCGAGCATGACGTGTACGTGAGGAAGCACGTTCTTGTCGCCAATGCGGCGGAGAACAAGGGCAAAGGTCTCGTTCGTGATGATCTTGGCGTTGCTGAACGATTCACGCTTTGCCCAGCCCTCTTTGAGAGCTTTCGCGATCGCGTTTCCGTCCATCGATGGCTTCATGGGATTCTGTTGGTCAGCCGGGGAGGCACTGCGGATCTTATCTTCGATCGCACTTTGAGGAGACTCCTGCGCTTTTTGGTAAATCGGATTGAGGAAAGCTTGGCGAAGAAGGTTGGCGCTTATCCCATATTCAAACCAGCCGGCAATATTGGTAACCGCGATGTATACACCCTGCTCCTTCCATTTTGCTGTCACACGACCAATGTGATTGTCCAGGTTTCCGATGAAGTCCGCCTTCGCGTCCATGAACTCAGTTGTATGCTGATGCTTCTGCCCCTGAGCCGTGTCCACACAAGACTCCTCGAATTGCAGCCCGTGTGCTTTGATGAAGTTGGTGTCGATCGCTAAGGCATGTGTGAGAGGTGCGCCTGCACGACCAAGAATAGGATCCAGTAGAGTCAAGATTGACTCTCGCGCGCTCTGGAATGGTTTGACGCAGGTCAGAGACCTAGAGTAGTAGTACATTTGCTGGAGAGCATTTGGTCGTGCCAAGATAGCGAGGTGGTGATATAGACGACCCACAGTAGGATTCTTATCGGCAGCTTTGGTGTACCAAGAGCGCGCGACGCCTGCCCAAGTCTCACGGTCCCGGACATCTTCGTCCTCAATCGCCATCCGATATCGGCCAAGGTCTCCGAGGCACTCGATCCATGTATCCTCGAAAGCTGGGACGGTTTCGTACAACAAAGCCATCATCTGATACGCCAAATAGATGAATGCCAGCATATAATCTATACTGTCAGGAAGACGCCGCCGAAGTAACTCCAAGAAGGAATGGATACCATGTTTCCACATGCGTGCAGGCATCGAGTATTTGGCGGCAAGACGTCGGAGAGCCGGCGATGCAGAGGGATGCTGACTAGCTAAGAAAAAGTCATGATGCTCATGTAATAGCGTCCGGTGAAGAGCGATCAAAGCTTGCCAATGATCCGACGCAAGTTTGGTATCACCATCTTGCGCAGCTGCGGCTTGTGCGCGATCCACATGTATACACTTGGTCTCCACCATGGTTAATCCTGCGTAAATAGACTTCACTTCCGACGCAAGTTGCTCTTGCGAAATGGGTCGACTATCAGGCTGCAATAGTAAACCAGGGTATCGGGGATCATAGCGTTGAAGTTCTATAAGACCTGGTTGGCGTTGAGATTGTTGGGGCTTAGGAGTAGTTCGTTGCTGTGTATGAGCAGGGGACTGAGTTTGCGGTGATTGTAAGTGACTGCTCTTCGTAGCTTCGGCTGACCACTCGCTGGACGGCTCGGGTGTCGTCTGGTATGGAGACGAGGTAGACTTGGCGTTTTGTTTAGGATCAAAAAGGCGTGCATCCTGTGGTCTCGACCGTGTCCTTTCCGAAACAACAGTTTGTGGAATTTGCCTAGAGAACTCGGGACCAGCCACTTCCACGTGAGACGGACCCTTCCCTCTGGGGCTGGTGAACTCATGTTCTGCCGGTCGTTTCCTTCCAGAGGGCGGTGAGTTCTGCCTGGAAGCCTTTCCCGAATCTATAGTAAGAGCCGCGATATCAGGCGCTGACCGGTCTCCAACAGTTGCGGCTGCTGAGTGATCAGATCTGCTAACCATATTAAACGCTGATCTAGCAAATGCCTGTACAGCAGCTTGGCCTGTACTCACTTGAATTTCAGGCTTAGCTGTCGAAACTTCTCTCTTGCCTGTCGCGGAGACAAGCCTTCAAACTCGTCGCGATGGTCTATCTTGCCGTGGTCATACAGCTGGTCGGCACTCGGAAAGACGCGTCCCTCATGACCGGGGTAAGGGCACGCGTGGGCCCTGATGATTGGACTCTGAGTTTTCAGCGCCTGCGCGAATTTGGTCTGGACGAGTTCACCGGTGTCCATAATGCGGCTGAATGTCTCAGGTGTAGGATTCGCGTTCGTATTCCGATCTCCGTATTTGGCGTGGGGAGCGATGTGATCTGATTGGATGAAGTTTTGGAGCGCACATACCCACTCGTGCGCGCACACCCAGCCTCAGCGTGGACTGTATCCTGATGACCTGGACTACGCAGTCTCCAATAAGATCCGGCAAGCTTGTACACTGTCGCATACGCGTCCGATGCTCTGCGCTCAAGTTCAAGGGGTCGGACTGCGTACGTTGACGAGGTAGTGCGAGGCCTCCGGTTTGGCTAGATGCGACGTCCGGGACGACAGGGACAGCAACCTCGCGTACAACAGAACGCAGAAATAGAAGAAAAAAGCTGTTTGACGTAAGATCTCCAACTCGAAGACTGAGATTGAATCTTGGGAGTGTCCCCCAGGGTGGGCATTAACACAATATAAGATGCGGCTCTGCTGTGGTTCGCCTACTAGGCAACAAGGCAAAAGAAGGCAAACGTCCCCGGGCACCGGACATGATTTCCTGCACGCCACCGTTATACCTGCGTCAAAGGGCGTCGTCGACTTTGGTGTCAACACGTCGCCTACTTGTAAGAAACCTCCTGCTCGGTTTGGTGGGCGGTCGTTGCCTACTTATGCTCGTTCCGTCTGCGGCTCTGCTGCTTGCTTTCGCCATCACCATGATGGGGGCCACATGAGCCCCACATTCTCGTCTGCTCCATCGAGGTTAGCGTTCCACATTATGAAAGCAACCCGGAACGGCATGCCCATGCATACACCATCCATCCAATGAATACCTAGACACTGTCGCTTATCATCAAAAGTTCATCCATCGAATGCCGTAGGTGCCAGCGCTCCTCACCTACGGCAAGGCAAGTCTTGCAACGTAGACCATAGTGTTTTTCGACTCTGCCTCACACCGGTTAACTACATGTTCCTGTGTATCTGCGTGCATGTACCGTGTAGTCCTCCATCTTGCTTGCTTCAGCTCATCGTCGAGAGTCCCGCTAGCCACAACACAGCCGCGAAGTCAATACTGACGCGTCTGCGACATCCTCACGCTTCAAATCTGAAGCCAACTATCCCCGCAAAAGACCTTGCGACAGTCATCGTAAGCCGAAGCCAGATAACGTACACGAAGACTGATTTGCTCAGATTTTACGAAGCGGGATGGAATTTTCGAGGCCTACGTCCTTGGTCCCACCAGAATGCAGGGTGTTGCCTTGTACATAGCAGATCTGCCGACGAACAGGGAGTGTCATCTGTTTGCCTGCGCAAGGTGTCACATGTACGCCGAGTATGTTGTATCAGTACTAATTTCCGACAGTCCGCTTGGACGACGACTCGATCATCGTGGGCGCTACAAACGCTTGCACGGGACGATACTGCTTCCACAACCGATGCGTGGCCATTATGTGCCGGGTCCCCGATTACCTACGTGGTATTAGCTTGGATACCAATGAACGGTGGCCACGCTTTCGGTATTGGCCCGAAGGCACACAGCGCTCATTGCGCCCTCTCACGAAACACGAGGCACGAGGCACGAGGCATTGCTGGCAAGCGCTTAGAGAAGGCTGCTAACACGCGTCCTAATCTTCATATTCCCAAAGACCGGTGCGCCTCAATGCATGCCCTTTTGGTCGAAAGATACAATGCCATTACGTCCTTTTCGTCACCTGTATTCACCAGGGCCCAAACAAATCAAGACATGCGATTGGTCAAGTAACCAATCCCATTTTCACCAACAACAATATCTTTGCCTTGGGTCTTCGCCAGCTGGTGCGGCAGAACAACAAGTCCTTCCTGGTCCGGTCAGGCATCGCTCAGTGAATAATCCAATTGTAGGTAGACGCGACTTCCACAGCGACCATTGTTGAAGTCGTTCCGTAATATTAAGAAGCACTGCGCACAAGACTCTCAACCAATCAAGCGCACTATCATTGTGCTATGAGCTGTTGATCTAGGTGTATGCAATCGGGCAAACCGTGATAGCGACCTGAAACACTCATATCCTCTACCCATACGCATGTTAGCTGACCGTACCTAGGTCAAATAGAGCACGAACCAGCATGGTCATCATCTCGCAACGGAAAACCAATCATGTTCAGGGAACTTTGATCACAAGCCATCATCACCAAGTCAGCTCCGGCATTGCCGCTGGCTGTCGTAAACTAAGCGGTATGTGCTACACCAGATCAGGCGTAGTTGCTCCTGCGCTGTCGTCTGAACATGGCCGTTACAGAAAGCATGGCGTTTTCTCTGGACTAAATCATGTCGTGTATCGACACGCGAAGCGTCTTGAAGGGACTACTCAGCATCGTGTGCTATACACTAAAGATCTGCTGATTGTGGGGTGCAAGACTACCCTCGAATGAGGACTGAATAGGCATCTCGATGGCCGCTCAATATGCGCATAGTCAGCATGCGAAAGAAAAGCCCATATGTGCAACCAGTTGAAAATCATGGTGTTGCACACAGTCTGTTGCCTGACAAGCACAATGCCTTCTGGGCTTCGTTCCAATAAGTGTATACGCGCATTCATTATAGCTTTCAAAGGGAGTGGTACGGTTTGATGAGGGGAAACTGCACGAGCAGGCCGATCACAGGGATGTTTCATCGTTTCTAGTGTTCAATTATGCGCCCTGATCACCCCGGATTACTGGAACCTTTTCTCGTGCACGCAACACCGAGTCTAGCAACTACATATGATTAAATTTGACGCGTTTCTAAGCTAAGTGTGCCATCTCTGTACGTACTAATCGATGATGAACTAGGTGAACAGCTATGCAGCTGGAATCCACAGGAGAAGTCCCAGCCACGGCCGTTTCAACATAGCAGAGGCGTGTTATGTGATAGTGATGGAGCGGCTACATTGCTCCCAGCGTAGGCCAACAGTCATACAGAGCCCAGAGAACTGGGCCATCCTCGGACATGGTACGCAAGGCGGGGTAATCTGCCTACGGCAGTCCCGCGGCCCAACAACCCTCATACCCATACCGCTTATATCTGTGTTTACCGGAGCCGACCAAGTAGCAACCCATATCATGACATAATTTGTGAGCCATTGAGACCTCTTGTGCATTGAAAGACTATTTTTCAGCCGTCGACTGCGATGCATCAGACGACGAAATGGGCAGTCCAAGTGTATCAAGAGTCTATCAAAGGCCAATGAGCAGTTCTAGAAGGGCAACTGGAACAAGGCTGACCCAGAAATGAGTCGAAGACGCGAAGAGGGCTGAATCAGGGCCACGTTCTCACACCTGTGTATTCCTCAAGCAATAGCCCTTGCGACGCCGTTTCTCATAGAGTAACCCGGGAACATCAATCCACTTAAATTTGCCAATCCCATTTGAGTGTCCAAGAATACTGTGAAGACATGTCAAAGACAGTATACGGGGTTAGAAGCCGATGCATACTAATTACGAGTGCGGATCGATTACCTAGGTACCTCAAAGACTGCAGCCCCACACCGCGATGGAGCCTTGTTCTCACAAGGTCCAGAGGTCGCATATGTCGTTGTTTCTGTTGCTCGCTGGAAGGCTCCCAATCAGTTCGCAATACTTACGGACTATATTATGTGCCTGCGGGCCGATACACCTTGCATTCTGTGCCCTGCATGTCAGCCCTCAAGCCCAGTGAAGGACAAAGTGTAGATACCCTACCATAACCTGCTACTACCGGCTTGTAGCGCACTACATTGGTCGGCTGCACCCGATGCTAGTCCGCGAGGTGCAGTATGCCGTACCCTACCTTGATTCAAGAAGCAGGTAATCGAAAGATGGTACAGTCACAAAGTAAGCTTGGTTTGATCACACGCAACCTCGCACGACCTCAGGCGCGGACTTCTTGATGGATAGAATAGCGCATCGCTGATCAATGAACCCGAGGCGCGAGGGAGTGGGCCGCTTGGAATCGACTTTGGGGCAACATCGTGTATAAAGATGTTGATAAGACGTCGCAGTTCCTCTGGTCTATATTAGCTCTCCGGATACAGTCTGATGACGGACCCCACGGTAGTGCACACCTAGGCAGCCCCAACCTGCAATATCACCTGGATCTCCAACCTCTGAAGGTTGCTTCTGACTGATTTACCAGGAAATACCCATGGACTAAATTAAAACGAGAAGGCGACGTCGTAGCGATGGCGAAACCAGAGGTCTTCGACACAAGTTGTAAGCACTAGCGTTGGGGGCTAGAACGAGTGGTGTATACATGGCAAGGCTGAAGGACTTCGGTGTCTGTAAAGTGCGCACCTATCTAGGTAGCCAAGCCATAACCTCAACTCAGAACTCGCCTCACTATGCAGAAGCAGTGGTTCGCATTGAGGCAAGCCAGGTCATCATCACATATGTCCCGAGGTCGCCTTGTGATAAGACCCTCATCCCGCATGAACTATGGATGACCTTCATGTCGTCATCTAAGATGGATCTGAGCTGCCGAGATATTTCACCCGCTGACTTTGACCGGGATGAAGCAAGTCAGTGTTGCCTTCGGTTACGCACGGTCTTTCGGAGCAAACCCCGAAACGCAGAAAGAAGCATATAAAAGGCGGCGCGAGCATGGCTACAGACGGCTGAAGAACATATCAGGCCCACTGTTTGCCGGAAAGATCACCGATCAGTTGCAGGCAACAATGCCCAACCGAGTGACATCTGACTGATGCTTACCGGGCTGAAGGCTGAGATCAGACTGGTATGCAGTGTTAAAGGTGAGTGATAACGACGGACGACACTACAGTCCTTATTTCGACGCCTCCATGCGCAGGAAGGGACTTACCAGGCAGGTGGTGTTCACCGGAAGGCGCTTAGGTATCTGAGAAAGGGGCCGGAACAGGCCTAAAGTTCAGACACTTCAACGTGAAACTGGAGCTAACCTTGGAAGCTTTCTCAGACGACCTCGGGGTTAAGACTTCTGTGCTATAACCCTCAGAGAACAGTAGGCCCCCTATGGCTTCTGACGAAGTTGACACGCGATGGTTTTACAGGAAGTAAGCTCCACGTCGCCTGAGTTCCTGCATATGCAGGACCTCTTGCTGCGAACGATGCTACCAGAGCATCACAGTTGTCTTGAGGTCGGTCACGCATCGCCAAATTCCATCTCTGGTCTCTTGTCGCTTGCAACGTTGGTTGCGATTGGAGTCTTGCAGGGTCTTTGGCAGAAAGTACCTAGGTCCAAGAACTCACTAGCCGAAGGCCAAAACTTATCAGTGAATTAGGAGATGCATATAAGAGGAATGTTGGAACGGAAGTATTGGTGTACAGCCTGGAAACTCGAGCACATGGCGTGATATTGGTTCGTGGAGAGTCGCACAGCGCAGCAATGCCGCGGAAACGGTGGTGCGATTCCAATGACATCATCGGCGTGCGACAAATGGACCCCAGGAGGCGAACTTTCAAGTTCGGGGTTGAAAACTCCACGGAACAGAGCTTTGGACATTACAAAGGCGCCTGCACATGGCGCATATATTCTTGGATGAGGCAGATGGAAACCAACATATATCCTGTACACCATATTGACACTCGGAGCCTGTGAGACGACATCGCGGCCGCACAGGTATCCGGCGAGGCGCCAAAGTACCTAGGTACTTCCCCGCCGGTCTGCAGGGTTCTCCGTGGGCGGTGCGACCAGCGTGGAGGGCACCATCGACAACCACAAAAGCCATCGCAAGCCATGTCATTATCAGAACTCACCGAGCAGCAACGAGCGACTATCGGCGATCGCGCGCGAGTATGGGAAGTCCGACGCTTCTGCCAGGTGCTGCCATCTGTCGTTAAATACGTGCGTGGTTCGGACGCTGGCCTCACGAGCAGGCCATTGGAGCCACACGGCAGATACGTCAAGAATGAACCAGACGGCGCGCTTGCTGCGTTGCTCCGTTGCGTCATCCATCAAACGGGCGCTGATCTGGCCATGGTCAGCTTGCTAGACGACCACACGCAATACTTCATCTCGGGGGCCAGTCGGGCCAACGCAGATGAAGCCAAGGTCACCTTGGGTGAGTGGAATCAACAGCATGGCGGACATACGTCGTATTCTAGCAGTGTCTAATTGGCACAGAAGACTCAACGCGATGGTACGGATGCGAGTCGGTAACTCATCACGGTGGTCTGTGCGAGCGTACCATCACGCGGCAGAATGAGCCAGGCGGGAGCATGGCACTCTACGAAGAGCTTGATATGGCTGAATTGGAGAGAACCAAACATCTCCCATTTGTTCAGGGTGATATTGCCAAGTTCAGACATTATGCTGGTGTTCCTTTGAACCCCTATGGAGGACCAAACATTGGCACTGTCTTCACGTTCAGCTCAACGCCGTCGCAGGGTGGGCTCTCGGACGCCCACCGTTCGTACTTGTTTGAGACAGCGTCACACATTATTCGTCATCTGGAACAAGCAGTAGAAGCACTGGAGGGTAAGCGTGTGCTCAAGTTCAACCAAGGTGTGGCTTCTCTACTCAAGATGGGTACGAGCGCAGGACTGGCGGCTCAGCCTGCTCACAAGAATCTTTCATCAGGCGGCCATACTGAACATGAAGTTCTGGTGTCAAACCTCTATCCCGCTGCAGCTCTGCAGCTGTACCATCTTTCAGCTACATTGCTCTACGATACTTTCGAATTTGACGGAGTTCGTATCCAAGAGTTGGGCTCCTCAAGCAACAAGAACCCCATCTGGAACGGCTCCAACGTGCTAGCCGAGCATCTCGGACCAAAAGCGCACAGGCCTCAAGAACTAAGCCACAGTCTGACAAGCAGATTGCTTGAATTATTTCCACATGGGGCTGTGTTCCAATTACTCAATGACACTAGCGACATCGTTGTTGCTACGAGCGCAGACGACGTCGCTTTAGTTGAAGATACCCTCATACTCAAGGAGCTTTCGAAAACCTTCCTGCGGGCTGAGCAGATTGTCTTGATGCCACTGTGGGATGCGTTTCACGAACGTAATATCGGTGCGGTCCTCGGGTTCGCCGAGAATCAGTCAAGAGTCTATCTCGGCTCGACGGATCTTGCTTCCATTTCAGCATTCTGCACCACGATAATGACGCAAGTGCGGCGTCTCGAAGCTCAAGCTATAGACAAGATTAAATCAGACTTTCTCGGATCGATCTCACATGAAATGCGGACACCTCTTCATGGCATACTATCAAGCCTTGAGCTTTTAGCGGACACACCACACAACGCACACCAACGCGACCTGCTGGAGACGGCAAGATACAGCGGCTTGTCATTGCTCGATACTATTGAGCGCGTTCTATATTTCAGCAACATCAGTTCCGGGTCGCAAAGTGCACCTCTACCAAGATCAGACTCATCGAACGATGGGCTTCTCCTTTCGTCAAGTCTTGCACCCCATCATTCGGCAGCTTCCTCGCAAGACAAGGATACCGTAAAGCTGATGGATACTTGTGAGGACATCATTCACAGTGAAGTTCACAGGTATCGCGTCAAAAAGGCTGTCCAGCCTGATTCTTCGATGCACAGTAAGTAAACTGGTGGAGATGGTCCAAGTCCGGTCAGAGCTCATGGAAAAAAGGCCTTGTCTATCATCCCATCATAACTTTCGACACGAATGCCAATCGGTCATGCCGTCTGGTAGCCGTCGCTAGCTTTCGAGCGATCTTGACAAATCTTATAGTAAGTTGTACAGATACAAAAAGCGCATGCATGAGCCGTACTGACGTAAGAGAGAATAATGCCTTGAAGTTTGGGGAACCGACAAACTGCATTCGAGTTTCACTGAATGTCACGGACGGTACTACCAAAATATCTTGTACAGACGGCGGTAAAGGCATCTCTTCCGACTTCATCCGCCATTCAATCTTTGACCCATTTTCTCAGGAGGATCCCATCGCAGAAGGTACTGGCCTTGGACTTTCCATTGTCAAGCAAACAGTCACTATGCTGAGTGGTGATGTGCAGATTGAGTCAAACAAGAAAGAAGGCTCTACATTCACTGTCACACTCCCATCGAGTCAGGCACTTTATGAGGCTCCAGAAGAGGCATCAGAGAGCTCAAATTTGCAGGCTGGTACTGCTGAGCTACACCAGCTTGACATGAGCCTCTTTACACCGACGCGCTGGAGATCAGGAGACTCTTTACGAGACCAGCGCTGTACTGATTTATTGTTGGGCTCCCTTGCGAAGAGTCTAAGCCGGTGGTTCCACATTCGGGTCATTCCTTGGGAAAGTGCAAGCAGAGCCTCGCCGTGGCGCTTGCTTGTTGTTTTGGAGGAGGACGAAGACAGTGCACTGCGGGCTTGCGGTGGCGCATCTGACGACTACGAGCGCATCCGTCTCTGCCCTGATGTACAGACCGCTCCCAGTCAGTACTCAACGCCTTTGAAGGGTGTCGCGACAATTGCGGGTGCGGTGACTAGTTCAAAAATCCAGGATGCGCTGGCGCACTTGTATCCTAGCCAAGTCCCCCCCTCTGAGCTTCGCCACAACTCCGACCAGGAATCAGTCGCGAAAATCTATGATCAGCAACAGCCAGTAGAAGGGAGCCGCAGCCAATTACGCGGAGACGCAACCGACGAATGTCGTGCTGCGCCAACAGCATTGCTGTCCCGGTTAGAACTCGAGAGGAGCCCCCAATTAGACGGCGAGGAAAGCGGTGGGCAGCCACTGGCAATGCCAGCCGCCAGCCCAGCGGTCACTCCAGAGATGAACATGGCAGCAAGGTCTAATGGAGCCCAACCCGACCACCGAGACGTACAAGCGCATACTGAGCAAGCAAAAGAGGCGGCAGTCTGTACATCACCAGAGGCAGCTGTGGCAGAGCCTAGGCTGCTGCTGGTAGACGATAACGCTGTAAACCTCAAGGTACTTGCCATGTATGCAAAAAAGTGTAGCAAGGCAGGTGCAACACCTGTCGGCGGTGGCCAAGAGGCCATCGATGCCTTCAAGAACGCCAACGGGTCCAGCGACGACACGGGTCCGCAACCTTTCGATCTCATTTTCCTCGACCTCTCTATGCCCGAGGTCTCGGGCTTCGAGGTTGCGAGGGAGATACGGAAGACGGAAGCGCGGTCAGGGTGTAAGAGGACGTACATATGCGCACTCACCGGGCTGGTGAGCGAAAAAGACCGCAATGCTGCGTATGCTTCGGGTGTAGATAACTACCTTGTTCGACCAACGAGGCTGCAGGACTTGCAGGGCGTCATTGAGATGTGGCGGGATAAATCAAGCGAGAAATGAAAGCTACCGTGCTGCACAGATGATGCAAGACGCAACAAGTGTCCGGCTGTGGCCAACGAAAGGGAAGCGCTAGCTGCGGCGGAGGCTCAGTGCACCCGAGAGGCCGATGCGTGGGATGTGATAATTCACTATCGCAACGTCATGACGCGAGCACTCTGTTGTTGGTAAGCTGCCGTCCGCGCTTGCACCCGACGCCGAAGATGATTACAGTCGCGCTCGTTAGCCTGGCCGTCGACTTGTAGCCATGCGCGCGGCCCCCTAGCCCAGACACGACGCTACGCAACCCCGGATCTCGACGCCCACGACGACGCCAGCTCAACCACACACAGCCCTCGCCATGGCCTCCAACACCGACGCCGCCTTCGTCGAGGACACCGACATCGAGCAGCAGCTGAGGGCGCGCGCCCATGGCTCCAAGACGCCCAAGACACCGGGCCCCGACAGCGACGACGAGGACGCGCCGCTGCTGGGTGCCTCGCCGGCTGCCAGCGGACACGAGCAATGGGCTGGCGATGCCGACTTTCGCGGCCTTCCCTGGTGGAAGCGCCCTTCGGTACGCCCCCGCAGCCCCTCGCGTCGAGGGCGCATCGACTGACGGCAGCAGATATTCTGGCTCCTGCCTCCCTTCCTGCTCTTCACCATCGCGTTTGGCGGCATCATCGTGCCCAAGATCAACCTGATCATGGACCTCGTCTGCGAGGAGTACTACGCGACCCTAGAGACCGACCCCATATCCTCTCCCATGGACCCGGGCCAGGACCGATGCCAGAACGACGCCGTGTCCTCGCGCTCCTCCCTCTTCCTCCTGTACGCCAGCTTGTGCTCCGGCATACTCTCCGCCATCATCAGCCCAAAGATTGGCGCCCTCTCGGATCGGTACGGGCGCAAGAAGTTCATGATAGCCAACACCTGCGGCGCCCTCTTTGGCGAGGTCCTCACAATCCTGGCCGCCAAATTCCCCGACACGGTGCACGTCAACTGGATACTCGTTGGCTACTGCTTGGAGGGCGTATCGGGATCCTTCATCGTCGGCATGGCATGCGCCCACTCATATGCCTCCGACTGCGTTGCACCACAGAAGCGGAACGTCGCCTTTTCCTACTTCCACGCTTGCTTGTTTGGCGGCATCGCCATCGGACCCGCGCTGGCAGGCTACATCATCAATGCGCGCCAGAAGTACGTTGGCAAGACCGAAGCCGTTTTGCTCATCTTCTACATGGCCCTTGGTGCCCACTTGATCTTCATTGCATTCCTTGCCTTCCTTGTCCCCGAATCGCTCAGCAAAGCACGCCAGGAAGCCGCACGTGAGAAGCGCAGAGAGGAAGTGGAACGACAGGGTCCCGCCGGCGACTTCATCAACCAGCTACGCTCTATCAACCTGTTTGGCCCGCTGAAGATTCTCTGGCCGACTGGACCTGGCACCTCGTCGGCTTTGCGCTGGAACCTGCTTCTGTTGGCCGCTACCGATACCATCATGTTTGGTGTCGCAATGGGTGCCATGAGCGTTGTCCTCGTCTACACGCGCCGCCAATTTGATTGGCATGAGCTAGAAAGCGGCCGCTTCACCACTATCGTGAACAGCTCGCGTGTTTTTGCTCTTCTAGTCATTCTGCCGATTCTGACCCGCATCTTCCGCGGGAAGAATGGGGCTGCCCGCATGCGCAGTTCAGGTTCTGACCTATTCGACCTTTCCATTATCCGTGCAGCCATCTTCTTCGACATGGCTGGCTTCCTCGGATATGCCCTTGTCCGCAAAGGCGAGCTCTTCGCACTCTCTGGCGCTATTGCTGCCATTGGCGGTATCGGTTCGCCCACTCTTGGCGCTGCATTGACCAAACATGTGCCGCAAGATCAGGTCGGTCAACTGTTAGGTGCCACGGGCTTACTTCATGCTGTTGCACGTGTCATGGGGCCCACCATCTTCAACGGTATCTACAGTGCCACTGTCGGCGCGTACAGACAAACCGTTTTCGTATGTCTTGCAGCGACTTTCGGGACTGCGTTCCTGTGCAGTTGGTTCATTCGTCCACATGGTGAGTGCTCAACCACACCTACATACCAGGCTGATTCTGACACGTTACAGTATATACAGACGGAGATGACAAACGCGTTACACGATCAGATGAACAAGAAGCATAGCTTGCTTCTCTTCATGCTGGCGCTTCAGTCGCACTTCTTTCGGATCCTTAGATTTTCTGGACAGCAATATCCATTTTTCGCGCACGCATATGTACAGACAGCGATGGTGTTTGGATTGGCATTTTGAAACCGCCGGGTTGTCGTTAGGCTGCATATCTGTATACTTTATGTTAACGTAACGTTGAACACTTGTTCTAGCGCATATTGCACCTCGCATCGTGAGACCTTTGCCCACGGCTTGTTATCGACCAACATGTGCGTTGCTGGTGCCGCCGTATGAAAGGGTACGTCGAGACTTCAGTGTGTGCCACTCTGCCAAACTCAGCGCTGATGGGAGCCATCTTCTGAGCTCATCGGCCCAGGGAACAGCCAACACGACTTTGCGAAATTGGAGGCAACAAATCTAGGTGTTGTTTGCGTGAAATATCTGCAGTAGCTGCCTAGGGAGTACAAGACAACGCGGAGAAGCTGTGGTGGTGGGCGCCGCAGCAGAACGAGGCTGACTAACGAACCTCGGGCCGTCAGGTACGTCAGCTTCCACGTTGCATCTTCCCGTGCCAATTGGCCATCGCGCGACCACTACAGCGTCTCCCTTTTTGTATTGCACACCTTTCAATCCGCCGCCAGTTACGGTCTCAGCGGTCGCGATCCCGACTCAATGTCAACAGCATTCCGGTAGCACCATCACTGGACAAGCCCTCGTCAGGGCCCCGCAACCGCCATGTCAAAAGAGAACCGCGCTTTCGATACCCAGAGATTGGGCGCAGGCTACGGTTTCGAGTCGCACCCGAAGCATGCTATTGAAATGCCCCCAACATGGGTGCTTCTCGTAGGCTTGGGCTTTCTGCTATGCGCAATGGGCTTTTGGGTACGGACACATGCGCCTACATGACAACGTGCATGCGACTAATGACCATGAGTGACAGCTTTATATAGCATTGAACCTCCTCGCGCCCACTCCACGACTGCCACGGCGTTCCGAGAAACAATACACGACGATACTACCCGACGGTGCACGAAGCGACCCAAAAGAACTTCCGTGCTGGCTGGACAAATGGGCAGCAGAGAAGGAAGCCGCCAAGAAACAAGCTGCGAAGGAGCCGGGAAGCAAAGTCGTCATACCGCCACAAATGCCCATCGAAGAACCGGAGCTCTTCATGAGCGTCGTGGTCCCCGCATACAACGAGGAGGAGCGGCTGGAAGGCATGTTGGAGGAGGCTGTCGACTACCTGGAGAGCCAATACGGTGATGCGCATGCTGGCGGCAAGGGTGAAAAGAGCCAGAGAGGATGGGAGATACTCGTTGTTAGCGATGGAAGCACTGACGGCACCGTCGACAAAGCGCTGGAGTTTGCAAAGGAGCACCAACTCGCCCAACACCCCAAGTCGAAGCCAGGGCCGTGGTCGAAGAACGGCGACGCCAAGGCCGCGCACTCAACACACATCCCACACGGCAGTATTCGCGTCGTCACGCTCGAAGAGAACAGAGGCAAAGGCGGCGCAGTCACGCACGGCATGCGACATGTTCGAGGCCAGTACATTGTCTTCGCCGACGCGGATGGCGCGAGTCGGTTCTCGGACCTAGCGGCTCTCGTTGAAGGCTGCCAGAGCATCGAGGACAAGCATGGGCGCGGTGTTGCCATCGGCTCCCGAGCTCATCTCGTCGGCAGCGAAGCCGTTGTTCAGCGCTCCAAACTCCGCAACTTCTTGATGCACTCGTTCCACATCCTCCTTCGCATCATGACGCCTCCGGCCACCGCACGCATCAAGGACACGCAGTGCGGCTTCAAGTTGTTTTCACGACCAGCACTTCCCTATATTGTCCCCTACATGCACTCGGAAGGCTGGATCTTCGACGTCGAGATGCTGATGCTGGCCGAGAGCGCTGACATTGCCATGATTGAGGTGGCCATCGGGTGGAAGGAGGTCATGGGTAGTAAGCTAAATGTTGTATGGGATAGTATTGGCATGGCATGGGGTCTAGCGCTGTTGAGAGCTTGTTGGATAGCAGGTATTTATCAGAGGGATTAGGGTTTGTGTATATAGAATAAAGCCGCGTTACCCGCCTGTGACTGCCCTCGCATTCACTATTCTTTGATGTAATGAACTGAACGCACTTTTGTTGAAACTCACATGCTGCATTCTTTCACGTGGCTGGCCCCCACTTGCACTCTCGTTTCTTGGCCACAGAGAACAGCAACACCACATGTTTCCATGACAGACGTTGTGAGACGTAGCTTCCATGAAACCGAACTCCTGTCTGCCACCGAGGCATTCCAAGGCTGTAAGCTCCCCACGTGCCCCATTACTCGGACACCAGGCTAGAGGATCTCGACACGGTGACGTTCTCGACAGCCTATCGGAAGACCTGAAGTACTAGTCCATTCGCATAAAGGGCTAGGTATCGTTGCTCGATTGAGCATATGATGCTATTCTCGTCTCTGCTCTTATCACTGTGGGATATTCGTCGCCAAATAGATCTCTACACTATAGAAGTGAAGGTGACCTCAAAGTGCTAGCACATCCTGCATGCATAGACACCATAAATGTCGTGACGCACCCTTCGGTTACTCGAAACTCGCGACCCATCCATCACCGACTCTCTCCCCTTTCGCATCTACACCACCCCAGAAGACTATGCTGCTGCCCTTCTCCATGACGTCCGATCCAAACAGAGCCCTTGGGCCGGGATGCAGTTTGCCATCTTCCTCTTCCAGTTGTTTCTCCGAAGGCGTCTGTACTACCGCCTCCGCCCACGACAAGTGACCAGTATCAGCCCCCAGCGCAGATCGGATCGCATCTTTGATCTTTGCAGGGTTGATGGCGTTCTTGAGCGTCATTGATGGCTTCGCCTCCAAATCG